TACGATACGACGGAGCCAAGGTACACAGCCGACAACTGGTATAAAATGGTGAAAACTGCCTTCAAGCACGGAATCAATCTTTTCGATAACGCCGAAAACTACGCTAATGGCCGCTCCGAAGAGATTATGGGCGATGCAATTAAGCGAGGTATCCAAGACGGTGTGTGGACGCGCGATGACCTCGTGGTAACCACGAAGCTATTCGTCGGCACCAAGGGCTTCGTTGAAGGAGGTCCCAATGACCAAGGACTGGGCCGGAAGCACATCGTCGAGGGCCTGAAGGCGTCACTACGTCGCCTTCAGCTGGACAACGTCGATGTGGTTTTCTGTCATCGCTCGGAGCCGTACACGCCCATCGAAGAGACTGTGCGGGCGATGAACTTCGTGATCGAACAGGGCTGGACTTACTATTGGGGCACGAGTGAGTGGCTCGCTTCGGATATCCAGGAGGCCTGCGAAATCGCTGACCGTCTTGGCTTGATCCGTCCCGTTGCTGAGCAGCCCCAGTACAGCCTGTTTGATTGCAATAAAGTGGACTTTGAGTTTGTTGACCTGTACAAGAAGTACAAGCTCGGGCTGACTACTTGGTCCCCACTCTCGTTCGGTGTCCTGTCCGGCAAGTATAGCGCTGGGAAACCCGCTGAGTCACGTTTCACGACACCATTCTTTAGAGACGTCCCAATGGTTCCTTCTTTTGAAAAGCGCGTGGAAATTGCCGATAAGATCAAACCGATCGCAGCCGAGCTGGGATGTTCACTCCCGCAACTGGCTTTGGCGTGGTGTGTTTCGAACGAAAATGTTTCGACGGTGCTCGTCGGTGCCAGTCGCCCTGAGCAGCTTGAAGAGAACCTGAAAGCATTGAATTTCGTTGAAAAGATCACTCCCGAAGTGAAGGCGAAGATTGATGCCATCGTGAACTTTGTTCCAACTGTCCCAGTCGCTAATGAGCTGGCGACTTTGCGTGGCAGGTTCCTGTAGAGGAGAATCGAATGAAGCAATGCACCGTTTCCATTCAAGAAATCGGAAAACTGGTCACTTCAATTTCCAATGAAGGAATATTAAACTCTGACAACTGTGCTTTTGTTTCGGATCTGTTCTTTTCTTTTTCATAATTTCCAGTTCCACCAACTGGGGATTAGATATTGCGCACTATCTCGTAGCCCCGGTAGGCAAATGTTACTCTTATAAACAGATCAACCTTCCGTGATCACTACCCTTATTCACTGTCCACACTGCGTCTCCACTTAGCCCTCGCTTGGACAATATCTCGTGCAACAGTCCAGAATGTACCATACAAATTCGTGCAAAGCAACATTGGATCGACAGGTTAGTAAATACTTAAGATATTATTTGCATGCTAGAACTGTTACCGGCTTATACGGCGTGTACACATCTCCGGATTGACCGTGTTGACAAAACACTTCAGCGGAGACTTGGAGACATCGAAAACCGGAACACCTGCTTCTGATCCATAAGCAATAGCGACGAACTCACTAAGGCAGTTTTTCGTTGTACATTGGAAAACATCCTCAAAAGGGGATCTAGAAGCAGTTCGCCTGCTTGCTCGAGTTCGATCCACGGGGTCAATCTCCTCGACAGTGTTAAGTCAGAGCAAGAACCTCTTTATACTTACCTGCAACAATTCGTGATATAAGATCCAATCTCCAGGACACCTCAGAACGACATTAAGGCGAGAATTCTATGTTATCAGGCTTCTATAGCACAAAAACACATTTTAAAAAAACATATAAGCCATTTGTCATCATCGACTGTTACCAGCTTCATTACCGGCTCCAGCGACCGTCCCAGCCTAAGCCCCACATGTGACAGATGCAGTAGAATGTGAATGTGTTTGCAGCCATACTCATCGCTATGACATGTATATCCTCTCGAAGCACTGCGGGTCGTCTTTTGTGCTTACAGTTCTTGCTTTGATGAAATAGCTGGGAGTACACGACCCAGCCAGGCTCGAATGTCTTTGATTTCCTGTGGAGACGACGTATGGTCCATGTTCGGGTACGTGTGGAACGTGATGTCCTTGACTCCAGCGTCAGTCAGTCGTTGCTTGGACTTTAGTGCCCACTCGTATCGAGCCCGCGAGTCGGCGTTGCCATGACAAATTAGCAGAGGCACGTCAGCCGTCTCAGGAGCAAACTTGAACTCCTATTAGTAAAAAAAGCATACCATATACGTTAACTCATCTTTTGCTTATCGGGCAGTATCAACAGGATGGAGACGAACCTTTTCACGAGGGATGAACGACGACAGCACCATGATGCCGCCGATCGGCTGCTTGGTCTGGAAGCCCGTGAAGTAGGACACTGCGCCGCCCTGACTAAAGCCGCCCACTACGATGCGTGAGCGTGGAATGCCTGCCTTAACCTGCTAAAAAAAATTCTTATTAACTCCAGCCAATACCAGTAGGTACTAGAAGACCCCTGTGCTTTACCTCCTGGGCAATCATCGACTCCAAAGCATCGCGTGTCTGATCGATTCCAGCAGCGTACCCAGCTCCTCCCACGAAGGCCTCAATGTCGTACTACAAAACATGAAAAACTATGAGC